TATTTTCCCTCTTCTCATAACATGGCCGAAAAATGATGACTGTCTCCTTCTGATGTCTGTGATAAGTTGTCTTCGGGTTCCCGCCTCTTTCAAAACCTCTTGGTTGCTCTTTTTGGCTGTCCAAGCTATTCTAAGCATTCTTCTGTAAAACCACATCTCTGAGGCTTGGAATACTGAAGAAGAAGTTTATATCGGTACCGTTAGTTTTAATACTGCTGTGACTGATGTCCACCAGAAGGCATTTCTACGTGCTGCAGACCGATTCGCCTAGAAAGCGGTGTTTCTGCTTCAGAGATCACAGAAAACTGTTAGCATCACGCCGACACAAGGAGACAACACAACAGGTTGTTAAAACCAGTAATTGCCTCACTCTTTTAGATTCGTTCTGTTAGTCTAACTCAGTAACTGACTAAGTTGTATAAGAAGTAGAAGGAACATGTTGAATGTTGTTTTTATTGATATTTATTAGACCCCGTTTTCGTTTAGTAATCGATCAGTTAGCCTTGCCTTTTCTTCTCAATGTTAAAGGAATGGTCAGAAACATGGCTTGTGAATATTAATCTATTAGTGAAGAGAAAACAACATGCACTGTGTTCTCCCTCTCACAAACAAAGCCAGATAGCTAAGCTAGTGATAGATGGAAAAGTGCTGCCTCAAAAGAACAATCCAAAATAAATTCCTAGGTATCATATTTAGGTAGAGTCGGGAGATGTGAACCAGCGTCATTGCACACGGTTATAAACCATAAGTGCTCTGCCGCCAGTAAACTCTCCACCTGTGTCACCGTCCGTACAAAACTCTGTAGCTACAGCGACATTCCTCCATTTACCCTAGAGTGTTAACTCTGGTACCCATTTCCTAGAGGCTGGGTGAACCCTGGGAACTGTCCGGTTTCGAACACTGGCCGTGGGCTGCAGCGAGTCACAACTGGATTTGAAAGTGAGTCTCCTATTGACTGCACTAACGTGGTCCCCAGGTATCATTTTTGACAGTAGAGGCAAGTGGAACAAGAGCAAGGCCGAATGGCAGTCATGAAAAAGCTTGCTGGTACAACTTATGGATGTGATGAGAAAGTTATCAAGAAGCTATACACTAGATGAGTAAGGCCAGTCCTTGAATATGGTATTACAGCTTGGGCAGCAGCAGCTAAGTCAGACTTTATCAAAATAGAGTCCAAGATCAAGAAAAGTGGATTATATCTTCTTTTTTGATATAACCATTATTTCTCTTTTCTTGACATTCTTTTTTTTGCACTCTCTAGTACCACAGTGTCTAATAGTTGTAGGTATTCTGTATTTTCAGCTATTAATACTGTATCTTCTGCATAACGAAGATTGTTTATATTATAACCTCAATCTAGTTTTTCTCATCGCTTGCTGCTGAAGATGGGGACTGAGCACTTATGGGAGTGTCCTGAGTGCTGGGATGTTGATTCTTAATTCAACATTAATTCAACTAGTATTCCTGATCTATCCTTGACCTCCCTCATTATTATTTCACTCTAGAGAGAAGAAGAGAACCGGTGACAAAACACATCCGTGTTTCACTCCTTGCTTTATCTGTTCTTAACTGGCTACTTTATTTCCCAATTTAATTGCTGCTTCTTCTTCTTCTTTATGTCCTCTTTTACCGCTTTGGGTGTCGAGGGATAAATAAGGTCCTGTTTTGTGCTCTTCTGGCTGCTTCAACCATAGATACATTGTGATGCTGTAGAGTTTCTCTGATGTTATCTTTCCATCTCGTTCTTGGGCTATCTCTAGCTCTGTTGTTCGTCCATCATGCGTGATGAAGACCACTTTCATCCAAAGTAGTAAAGATCAATGATTATGAGTACAAAGGTGGCTGATTAGTCCAATATAAGGCTGGAAAGTACTTGAGCATTGTGGACAACAGATGGAAGCTACAGTAAGTGTGGGATTAGCAATACGATTCTTATCTGCCTCCGTTTCTCTGCCTGTACAACCTCCGCTGCCTGGCAGGCCGATGCACCATGCCTGAGGGATGTATGCCATCCAGAATGGTCTTGTGCAGCAGCCTCCCACGTCGCTGTGTTGATGCCAAAAGAATTGAGAGCAGTCTTCAGTGTCCTTATAGTGTCCTTATATACTGATCTCTTGCTCTACGTTCCTCTCCTCTATGTATGTGCCTTGTATGGTATAGCATCAAAAGGCATTCTCTTCAGGAAGGTAAACCATTTGAATTGCTGTCTTTGTATGTAATTTAGAATTGGTTCTGTGCCGACTTGATCTCGAATGACCTCATTCCTGATTTGATCTCTTCTGGTCATTCCTACAGCCTTTCTCAGACACCTCATTTCTTGCTTCCATTAAATATTTTTGATTATTCTGAGATCTTTTTCATCGATGTTAATATCCTCTAATAATTTCATAGTGTCATCATGTTTCACTTTTTTAAAAGCTTTGGTGTAATCTGTGAAGCACAAATATATGTCTTTCTGTTTCTCCACTGATCTCTCTACTAATATTCACAGTGTGTATACAGGAGGCTACACACGAATGTGAGTCGTGGACTATCTCTCAGTCCTTAAGAAAGAGAATAGGTGCTTTTGAGCTGAAATGCTGTAGAAAGATTCTCAGAATATCTTGGACAAAGAAGATGAGAAATATTGACATCTTAAAAGATCTGAACATCAAGGAAGATTGGCATCCTTTCTCGAAAACTGAAATATTTTGGTCATATCATGACGGATTGGAAAAAATTATAGCAGAAGGCATGATTCTAGGAAGGAGGAGCAGGGGCCGACTGACACAAAGATGGGCACCGGATATAAGTGACTCCTTGAGTGTGAAAGTGTATGAGGCAGGAGAACTGGCGAGAGACCAAGTTTCTTTCAGGCAGACTGTGATGAGAGCGACGTTCTGCAAAGGACCTGCTACATGATGATGATGATGATGTATACAGGAGGAAGCGAAAGAGATAAATTTGTGGATGACTTGGTTACACAGCATAATAACAGAATAACAGCATAGATCTAATCCAGTTATTGTTCCTACTGAATTTAGACTGATTATGGAACCAGAAATAATTGCTGTGAGTTCGATGGACTCTTGACACATCAGCTGTATTATCTGAGGTTAAATGATAATATTGCCATCTTGTTCCAGTTTCATTCATGAATTCACACAGAAGATAAATTATACTCCTGATGTTAGAGCACTAAGGAGGTATACAAATTCATAGGGAAGAGACAGTTTTAGTGAGAATAAATAAGGCAGATAACCTAATCTTCCTTGATGAAATTGAAACCTCATGTCCGGAGGTGGAGTCATGACTGACTGACTGACTTTCTACCCCACCAGGACATCACACAAGCGATAAACACCCGATGACACAAAGTGCCACCATGCGGATGAGGATCGCCGTGGAGAGGTCCCAGAAACCGCGTTCAGACATCTGGCCATATTTATGGCCTGCCTATATTGCGGCCCCTGGCAAAAGCCAGAGTAGGGCTTCAAATGACAAAAAATTTCGTCCTGAAAAGGACGAAACTGGATAACATTATGGTGGAGTCATGCTCTCATTTGGATAGTAATGTAGACAAAGATGAAAACCAGAAAGAGAAATTAAAATATGAATACTAAAAGCAAGAGCTTTCATTGCACTGAAACAAAAATGTGTGGCAATCAGAAGAAATTAGGTCTATACTGAACTGAGAATATTTAACTCCAACACCAAATCAACTCTGCTTTATCAATACAAATATGGACACTAAAACAATTATTTTTAAACTACAAACATTTATTAATTCGTGACTGCATAGGATAAATAGTATGACAGAATCATTCATTCGGATCTATGGGAGGTAAGCAGGTAATTGCAGTTCCAGGGTCATGGCAAACAGTTTACCCCATCGTTGCTCCTTTCTTGTGTCAATGAAAACCACACAGAACATCCTTAACTGTACTTGTGAAAAGAAAAAATTGACACAGACTGCAGTTTCAGCATAGCGATTGGCATGCAGCGAATCACATAGCATAAGGAAGTAAGAAAGAGAAAACAAGTTGAGAAAGGTGAAAGGCAGCTTAAGGAAGAACAGAAACATGAATTATATGTGTTCCTGGACAGATTCAAACAAAAAACTTGTTTTTGTTTTGTAGCAAAATGGCACACAGGGATGATGGGGTTGGTTGCTATACCAACCAACATTAATTTCTCAAATTTATTTACCGAATTTGTCAGGCTGTACTGACCTCAGTGCTGTACTGATCGGAGTGAAAAATGCCACCACTAGTGGAGCTGTATCTTTTGGTTCCTGTATGAGTGAGCATTAGCTATTATGGTTTTTACAGAACTTTTGAAAGGTTAAAGCAACATTTATATTTAATCTGTTAACTTATTACTTATAATTAGTGTGTGACTTAGGCATTGTGAACACGCTTCGTAATGCCGGGCTTGATTCCAGCTGGAAGCGATTTGGCAGCAGAACGCCTTTGCGTTGGTTTTACCAAGAGTATTGAGAGTTGACCATTCAGAAAGCAGTTCCCCATGTGGGTTCCGGAGCCCCACTAAGAGGAAAATAAGAATAGAAACACTGCCCAAAAGCATGTAGTAAGAGTCAACTGATTGGGAGCTTCTTTTGAAGTCGGAGTACATCTGCTCAAAGGCAAATGAAGCAGACTGTAAAACGGATTTGCACGCAACACTCAGTTTCTGGAACAGTACTAGAATCCAGAAGTGGACAAACAACCTGAAATTTTTGCCGGAGTTTATCGCCAGTGAACACAAAGAAGAAGAAAGAAATGGCAAACTACAAAACATAAATTTACCTAGAAAAACCGCAGCAGCCTAAAAATGCTTGGGTTGGTTGTGTAATGTCCTGTAAAGAAGACACAACTAACTAACTTAATAATTAATGAGACCTTAATGGTTGTACAGTTAATATCTAGTTCTTGTTTAACCACAATTCATTTTTATCCTTTCAGCTAATAACCCATCACTTGAGAGTTGAAGTGATCTAGACGACATCAAGATATTCAGCCATGAAGAAAATGTCAGCTCGTATGTTACTTATACTTCTGGTAGTGTTAGCAGTCAAACTTAGTAATGCTGACAGTGAGGATGAGGAAGCACATAATGATGATACATCGGACTCCGCCTCTGTAGCAAATGAACCTGTAGATGAAGAGAAGGTAGAATATGCAAGAGGTTCAGTTTGTGGATACTGCACTTACTGTAAGGTAAATATCTCTGCACATTATTGTCTTTGAAGTATAGTGTGGCTATAGTGTTTGTCTGACTAGATATAGGTAATACAGGTTGTGAATTTAGCTGAGGATGATATTATAAGACAGTTGTTTTAAATAAAAAACAGGTGATGTCTTACTTTGTGTAATGTGTCTCTTTGTACTTTGTCTCACTGATACTATTAAGACACTGGATGTTGTCTAATGGTCAAGTTCACAGATTAGACAAGACAGACCTTTTTCCTAGTCAACTGCTGCACTTCTCCACATTACAGTTGATGACAGTTAATTACAGTTTCATGTTCCTAGCTGAAATAAAAGAAGAAATCTTGTAAATAACACAATTATCTGTTTGTCCCTTTTCCTGTTTGCGATGCTGTCTGCCACTGTGTTGATGATGTTCTTTCCTCTCTGCTTTTGGTCAGGATTGGGCTGGACTTGGACTGTTTACTGGTGACTGTCTCCGGCCCCCCAGTACTCTGCACTTGTGCTGACTCGTGAACTGACACTGTCTGTCAGTGACACTGAAAACTCTGGTTTTAGTCAGTCTTTATTTAATGTCCCTCGCTTTCTAAAACTTATTCATTTATTCTCTAACCCACACTTTATTTCTACTAAATGTTTACTTCATAAATAGATTACCAATTTGTTGTTTTAATATTGGTTCTCTAGTTCAGTAATAAGTGAAGTAAAGTACCCTTTTCCACGCCTTCAGGCATATTTGGTATATAGGGCTAGATATATTTTGTAGACCATAGGGCACTTGTTGGATGATGTAGTCAGCATCACGCTGGCCACCTCTACTTCCCATAACTGTAGCTGGTACCCGCTCAAGGCTGGGTCAACCTGGGAGCCTGAAAAAAGACAGGCCCCAATCAGGACCCGAACCCAGACCTTCTGATCAGCAGGCGAGAGTCTAGCTGCTAGACCATGGCGGCTCCCACAGTTCAATAATAACAACAGTAATTAACTTTATTCTGTTCTCACCACTTATACTTTTTATTCTGATCACTATGTACTCAAATTTATGTAATCAAAATTTGGAAGTTTTAATTTTCACAAATCTTATAGATCACAGTTCATTTCTTATTCTCCAACACCACTTAACGTTCGCCACTATTGTCCCTGCTTTATTCTTTCAACAGTAATTACTCCATCTCAATCAAATAATGTCATTACTATCAATCACCATTATCACCAACAGCTTGCTATAATAATTGTCACTGAATACAGCTACTTAACAACTCACACCACAATACTTACTTACTTACTTAGTCGCTCCTCTTCTACCTTGGGGTGTAGAGGTTTGCCAGAGAGATCACCAGACGTCTCTATCAGCAGTTTTCTTTCTGGCTTTGTTCCATTCCAGTCCTCTGTCAGTCAGGGACTGTCGGATGTTGTCTTCCCAGCGCACCCTGGGTCGTCCCGGAGGTCTGGTTCCCTGGTTCTTAGCCTCCCATGCTTGCCATGGTGGCCGATTTTCTCCCATTCTGCACACATGTCCAAACCATCGTAACTGTGACTGATCCACTCGGGTTAGTAAGGGCTGGGTATCAAGATCTTGACGTATTGTCTGATTGCGGACTTTGTCCCTTCTTGTCACTTGGACCACCTTTCTCAGGTATCTCATTTCCGAGGCCTGCAGCTGGCTTCTGTGAGATGTTGTCATTGCCCATGACTCACACCCATAGGTCAGGACTGGTACATAGGTAGAGCGGGTAAACAGCCATTTTCGTCCTCTTGCCAATTCTCTTTTGCTAAGAAACCCTCGGTTTATGGCCTGGAAGAGTCTCCCAGCAGCTGCTTTTCGTGTAGCCAGCTCAGTCTTAATGCCTCCATTTTGGTCTAATACAGCTCCAAGGTATTTGAACTGGTTAACCTGCTCCAACGCATACTGTCCCATCATGATCTGGTGTTTCTTCTCCTCTCTTGAGATCACCATGGTTTTAGTTTTGGAGACACTGATGGTCATCCCTTTCTTTTCAAGCTCTTCCTTCCAGACAAGTAAGTTGGACTGAAGGTGTGCCTCTGATTTAGCTATCAGGGCCACATTGTCTGCAAAAGCCAGCTCTGATATACAGATTGGTCTCATCTTTCAGTACCCTACAGAGTACTTCTTTGTCTTCTCCTTACAGGTCTTGATGACATCATCCATCATAAGAATGAAGAGGTAAGGTGAGAGAATATCACCTTGTCTAACACCGATGGTGGTCTTAAATTCTGCTGACTTTTGGTCTGCTGTTCTTACATAATTTCTGCACTTTTTGTAGAAACTCTGCATTGCACTGATCAGGGGTGCTGGGATGTTTTTCCCTGCCAAGCAGTCCCAGAGCTTGTTCCAGGGTACCTTGTCAAATGCCTTTTCCAGATCCAAAAAACATAAATGCATCTCACTCTTATATTCCAGGGCTTTTTCACTCATCTGTCTCAGTGTGAAGATAAGGTCTTGAGTACTTCGGTTTGCTCTGAAGCCGCATTGGGCCTCGTCCAGCTGTGGCTCTACCAGACTTCTAAGTCTCTGCTCAAGAATTTCATAGTAACTTTTACAGGGAACGCTGAGGAGGGATATGCCTCTGTGGTTTTCACATTGTCTGTTATCACCTTTTTTAAATATAGGTATAATGATGGCAATCTCCCAATCTTTTGGTATAGTTTTGCTACACCAGGCTGCCTGGAGAACCTTCAGTAGAAGGCGCTCACCTTCGACTCCCATATATTTGACCATCTCTGGTGTTATACCATCATGACCTGCTGTTTTTCCCAGCTTAATCTTCTCAATAGCTGCCATCAATTCTTCCATCCTGATGTTATCTTCCCCATGATTGAATTCCTTCTCAGCAGTGAGGTCCATTATTTCTAGGTCATGACTTCCCTCAACGCCGAGGAGCTCTGAGAAGTATTCTTTCCATCTGCCCATGATATCATTTGTAGAAGTAAGCAGAGCCCCTTCCTTGTCTTTTATGAATTTAAGTGGGCACTCTTTCTCCTTCCTCATGTTCTTAAGGGTCTTGTAGAACAGTTTTTGGTTTTCTCTTGCATTCTTTTCCAGCTTTTCTCCAAACTCTTCCCATGATTTCTGTTTTGCTTTAAGCACAATATTTTTGGTATCTGTTCTGAGTGCCACATATTGTTTATATTTTCCTATTTCTTCAGCTGTGTTTCTGGCTGCCAGGTATTGCTTCCATGCCCTTTTCTTTTCTCCTATTTTCAATTTGACTTCTTCTGTCCACCAAGGTGTCCTGTGTCCCCGCCTTCCACTTGGGACTTCACCACATGCTTCTACTGCAGCTGCTGTGAGGATATTCTTGAATCTGCACCAGAGGGTTTCAGTGTCCTCTGATGATTCTTCTTCAGTTCCTATTGCTTTCACTATAAGCTCCTGGTATCTAGCCTTAAAATCTGGCTCTCTTAGCTTGTATGCTTTAATCCTCATCCCTTCTTGGTTGCTTGGTTTCTTGCATGGTTTTCGGTGTTGCCTTGTTGGAGCAGTTCTTTCAGTTGTTCTCTTTATTGTGACCAGATAGTGGTCACTTCCAATCTCTGGTCCTCTCATGACTCTGGCATCTCTCACAAACTTGAATGAACTTTTCCTAACTATGGCGTAGTCAATGATGGATTTTTCATTCTTTGAAGGTTCACATCTTGTGTATGCATGTATACGCTTGTGGGGGAATTTTGTGTTTGTAATGACAAGGTTCTGTTCCCTGCAGAATCTGAGAAGTCGCTTGCCATTATCATTCAAAACATCTTCACCATATCTCCCGATCACTCCACCCCATCTAGAGTGATCATTTCCTACTCTGGCATTTAGATCTCCTAGGAGGATAATTTCATCGTGACAGTCATCTATGGTCCTTTGGAGCAGTTCAAAGAATTCTTCAACATCTACTCGCTCATCTTCATTTGGCCCGTACACAATGACAAAATTGACAATTTTATCTTCTTCTTTTAGATCTAACACCATTATTCGCTCTGAGATGAATTTCCATCCCTTGATGTTGCTAACTTGATTCCTGGCCACAATACAGCCAACACCTCCCTTGGCTCTCTCCGTCATAGGGACACCACTGTAGAGCAGCATACTTCCATCGTGATCTGTGATTCCTTGCCCCTTTTTCTTGGTTTCAGTCAGAGCCAAGACTCCTAATTTTGCTTTCCTCATCTCCCCTACTAACTCGTTTTCCTTTCCGTTAATTCCTCTTATATTCCATGTTCCATAAATCGTAGTCCGTAAGCCATGCCAGTTTGTCGCCGTTAAGATCCGTCCGGTTTTCTCTCTGTAGTTACTTGTAATCGTGGTTTAAGGCAAATAGGTGATTGGCCTGTTGTGCCTTTGCATGGTGGAGGGGCTGCCTCCTTGCGGCCTCCATGCAGGCCGTCTGGCTGATTCACGGTTACCCACTACTTCCGGAGACGCATGAAGCACTCAGGTTCAGCCAGACCCTCCTCTTTTTACAGCCGGGCTTGGGACCGGTCTTAGCGGAGTTCACACCACAATAGCGAATCTTAATGTCACTGTTATTGACGCATCACTTACATCTCATTAAGCTAAGTAGTATTAGACTATTAGTCTATTTTCTGACTGGACCCAAAGCTATTTCTAATGCATTCCTTGTTGACATGTTATTTTTCATTGTTCTGAGCTGTAATCTGCATGTTGACCTAGACGCCTTGACTGTGGCCGATAACTGTGCTGGTTGTACCTCTTGTGTAGTCTGCCTGTTGACCTTGACATCTTGTTACTGTCGTTGCTAACTACCCTGGCTGTCACCCCACTGTAGTGTTTCTTATGGAGGATTCTCTATTCCGAAAATTGCATTTCTTCGTTATGTCTTCTCGTTTGACGAAAATACCCACGTAAAATAATAGTCGCTCAGATACTCTCGCTGTAACCTATGCATCATGTATTACCCAACACAAGGTTCAAAAGTTCAGTGAATACCAGTGTCTCCTCGAATGACGATAACCCACATCGTAGTATAAAATGTAATTTCTCCCACACGCCGAGTGATCCTTAACCCAGTTTTCTCTCACTGTATCCCTTCTACTGGTTACTTTTCTTCTGCTCAAATCGCCGGCCTGAGATTGAAAAGCGCAGGGACATCTGTCTGTCCAAGACTTATTTAATGCTTCTCGACTGCATGTCCAGGACTTATTTAATGCCTCTCGACTATTTTAGCTACCTCGTCAATGAAACATACTCAACCTCATACGGCCATTCTGACATCACTATCCTCCAAACATTTAATTCATCCACAACACCACCACTAGATGCACAGTGTCTGACTCTACTTTTCTGTGAATCACTGCAATTCCCATTGTTTAGTTCATCAGAGGGCTCCAAATGTAATATGTCTCTTTGTAATGGGTCTCACTGGTACTACTAAGACACTGGCTGTTGTCTAGAGGTCAGGTTCACATCAGACGATACATCAGTCAACTGTCACACTTCTCCACATTACAGTTGACAAGAGTTGATTACATTTTCATGTTTATTGGTGATAACACATGAGCTTTGAGAATTAGGTTACCAGTCAAATATTCTGCTGACAATTTACAGCCTGACACTTACTTTATCCATCCAGGTTCCCCGTGTACGCACTTTGAAGCATGCATCTGCACTTTGGACGGTCAATGTTGACATGCACACAATTAACACAACTAGTAGTCAGCAGGACACATCAGTCATCTTTCTCTCAGCTGTCTTTAAAAATAGCTTTCAATGCAGACGATCCACATCCACTCCTTCCAGCTCTGGGTTAACTTTCACTCCTTCTCACTCTAGGGCCCTGTCACAGAATGACTTGCTATTCAGCTATTCCCCCAGTTATCCTATGTTCCCAAGTCAGCTCACACAGTCTTGCGTTTTTCTCTCTCTCTCACGTCAACTTCATGTCTTCCAACCTAGGGACTTCCCCAGTTCTGTCAACCAATCAAACCCCTTACATTAATCCTTTATTTAACATCTCTTCACTTTGATCCCTTCGTAGTGGATTAGATGTCAGGTTGTCTCAGGTATGTGCAGAAAACAGGAAGCCCTGTGATCACACTGCGCATGTTGACAAATTACTCAGTAGTTGAAGATCCTAAGTAGGCATTATAGTCAGCTGCTATCGCAAAAAAAAAAAAACATAAAAAATCTAAAATCTACCCATAATAGAACATGTGCAGTGAAGATGAAACACAAACTCAGTCCTGGAAGTGCTCTGATGAAGGTGTTGTGCTAGTTGAAAGGTGCAAATACCAGTTCCTTTGTTATAGAAAAATTAAAAAGAATAGAGATATGATACCTCCCTGCCTCTTCCCCCCCCCCCCCCCCACACATACACATGCGCCCTTTAGCTGTTCTTTTACGCACTTGTATTTTGCAACATCAGATTAACTGTTCAAATGTCTTAGTACTTTTTGAAAGGAGGACAGTTTGATGATCTGCATATTCAAGTTTCAGAATCAGGTTTTCCTAGTGAGCCGATTGAATTTGTTGCAGGTTTCATCATTTCTTACATTTCTTATTTTACCTTCTGTGTAAGTGTTAACACTTGATGGAGGAATAATGCAATCCATTCTTAACCTTGCTGCCCCAAGAAGCCACAAAACCAACATTTCTGGTTCAGCCCATTTCCTTGTAAAAGTCTGTTGTTCTTTAATGAATTGATTACAGCCCTAGTCTTCTAATTTTTTTCAGTTTTAATTTGTATCTCTTCTTGTTACATTGAGCAGTTCATCTAAGATATTTAATCTCTGTCGGTATGGATTAGCATATTTTTTAATTGTAAAAAGGTGGCCATGTTTGACACTGGTAGCATAAAGCTGACCCCCCCCCCCCCCCCACAAGCCTAGTTTTGATCAGATTTGCCTTGGTAGACAACAATTTCTTCTCCGTATCACATGTGATATTCCAGTACTTGATTCTATTTTACTCATCATATGTTTATGTTAACTCCTCTATCCACTCTTCCTTCTGGGGTAAAAATCTACGCTAAATATTTGAATTCACTTATTTATTTTATCTGTGTTATTTACTATTATTTATATGGTTTCTGCTTGTCTACCAATCACAATCTTCTCTGTCTTTTCAGTGCTTCTTTTCATATTTCTCACACTTGAGTTTGACTTGATTGAGATGATTCTTGACACTATTCTGTTTCTGCTATTAATATTGGTTTTCTGCGGAGCTCCCCGTGTGGGTTCTGGGGCCCCATTGTGGGGAAAACAAGAATAGACCCACTGCCTACCCAAAAGCATGTCATAAGAGTCGACTAACAGGGAGCTTACTCTGAAGTCAGAGTGCATCTGCCTGAGAGCAAGCACTTAACAGTCTGCATTCAAGTGAATCAGATCTGTAAATCTGATGCACACGCAGCACTCAGATTCTGAAGCAGGACTGCAGTCCAGAAGTGGACGAATAAGCAGAACTTTCCGCCAGAGTGTACAATTGGTAAACGCGAAGAAGAAGAAGGTCATCTGCAAATATCTTTTCTTTCTACTTCTTATTTTATATAACATTGAATGCTCTCTCATGTGTGATAAGGACTGCCCCTGTGAGAGGAGCAAGACCAAGCCAAACTGCCACATGTGCAAGGTACTTGTTGATGTCTGTAACTTGTTTTCTGTTAAGACTGTTTGATAGCATTTACTTGTCTCTTGCTACGAGGAAAACAGACCATTGGGTGAAGAACATTCTGGGCAACAGATACTTGTCCAAATAAGAAGTTAGGTCTTCATTTTACACGTGTCATAAAAGGGAGTTGAGCAGTCATAGACCATGAGGCAGACAAGAAGACGGGGAGATTATTAATAGAGTCAGACCTGCAAAACACCCAGAGTTACCAACTAGAAAGAGAGGACTAATCACAGAGGTGAGTTAAGGTGGGTAATATCTGCAGCAATGAACCTCAAGGAGTTGGAATGCTAAAGAAGAAGGTGGTGATATGCATCTGAATTAAGGTCACTAAAAACAAGGATTAGAAAGAAACAAGAGACCACAGATGGGCCCACAAAGGAAGCAAAAAAGTAGAAAGAAACACTGTAATCTACCACCCATCTCATAAGAGCAACTAATGAGAGTGGTTATGATCATTGCTATCTGACCCAGTGGAAATTTTAGCTGCAAAATTTAAATAATCAGGAGCATGTTTAGAAAAGTTTGACAGGCCTACAGTTCACTCAGATATGAAAGGGGCGCGGGGATGGAGGGGGTGGTGGGGGGGGGGGGGGTCACAAGAGCTACCAGTGAAGAGCTTAATAAAAGAATAAGCTAATAAAAAGAATCATACAATTAATACCAGAAATTGTTCTTAGGAGAAAGATCCTTGGCAATCACACAACCCAGAGAGGCAGTTCCAGAGAATTGAAAATTTAAAAAAGCCAAAAAAGTAGACAAACAAGGCATACTCACAGAATACGGCAAGCTCAGTAGAAAGATGGAAGCCAGAATACGAAGGCAAATGCTGTCACCTACCAGCTAGCCCCACTGTTTAGACATCCAAATCTCTCCCTTCCAGCAAAAAAGCAAATTATTAATAGCATCGTCATCTCTACTTTATGCTGTCAGTGCCAATCATGGACAGTGCATACAGTACTAGAACAGAGCATTAACTGTGAAATGCACTGGCTCCATAAAGTCACAAACAACACAAAAAGGGACAGGGTTATGGAAACCAACATTAAAAAGAAAGTTGCAATAAGACCATGTCTGAATTAAATTGACAGACGAAGAATGAAGTGGTTGAGCCATCTTGTGAGAATTCAGTAGAAAATCTAGGAGGAAGGCGAGGGGAAGACAAAGAAAGAAATATATAATGGTGTAGCTGAAACCTGCAAAAAGGTTAATAAATCCATCACTGAAGCAGCCTCAGAAGTGCAAGACAAATATAAATGTTGAAAAGAATTGACATCACAACACTCGGTACACTCCCATAAGCCCCCCGTCCCCATCTTCAGCCACAAGCGAAGAGTTCTAATTCCAATGGCACAAGTAACTGATTGTAAATCCGTCTTTTCCTTGAGTGTTGAGCATCAGCCAGATCCCCTGGTAACTCCTTGCAGCACCATTCTCCTCAAACTATAATGATCTGTTAGTGCCTCCGCACTGTTCACTTACTCTCAAAGGGCCCTCATAATATCTAGCTTGTCATACATCAGTTCACCACCAAATGGGGTAGTTCCGGCCAGTATTTCTGCATGCTTGTTTCCAAACACACCGGTATCACCTGGAGAAAAAATCCAAAGGATGCTAACCACAAGGGACCTTTAAAATGAGGCTTGCCACTCATGCCTGTCAAGACAAATACAGAAAACCATGACACTGAACTACAACATGGTATCAGTGAAGTGACAAAAGAAGAAGAAAATGGCCTGAGAAGACGACCATAAAAGAAACACAGAAAAATATGTCTGACACGAGTACAGTTGAAGATGACCCTAGATTGATAGTGTGATTAGATCATTTTAGAAAACACTTTGTGATCTTGGTAACGTTGGGTCAGTGTGGACTGGATTTACAGCAGAAGCTCTTAGGTTGAACCATTACTGAGTCCATTTGATCAATGGCTGCTATAGATTTCAAACTTGCTGGGTAGTAATTTAGCTGCCTAGTTTTTTAAGATATGGGTGAAAAGTAGGTTATGCATGCACAAGATCCCTTGGCAATTTGTAATGATAAAGAGTAGGCCAAAGTTACCATTGCTGTGGCAGAGTTTAAAAAAAAAAAATCAGAAACATTTACCCCACTGAATAGTGCAATAAGTGTGGAGTTGAGGTAAGATTGTATGAAGTTGAAGTAAGAATGTGTGGAGCTGAGGTAAGAATGTGTGGAGCTGAGGTAAGAATGTGTGGAGCTGAGGTAAGAATGTGTGGAGCTGAGGTAAGATTGTATAGAGTTGAGGTGAGAATGTATGGAGTTGAGATAAGAATATGTGGAGTTGAGGTAAGAATGTGTGGAGTTGAGGTAAGAATATGTGGAGTTGAGGTAAGAATATGTGGAGTTGAGGTGAGAATGTATGGAGTTGAGATAAGAATATGTGGAGTTGAGGTAAGAATGTATGGAGTTGAGATAAGAATATGTGGAGTTGAGGTGAGAATGTATGGAGTTGAGATAAGAATATGTGGAGTTGAGGTATGAATGTGTGAGTTGAGATAAGAATATGTGGAGTTGAGGTGAGAATGTATGGAGTTGAGATAAGAATATGTGGAGTTGAGGTAAGAATGTGTGGAGTTGAGGTAATTTTTTAATATAACCTGCATATCCACAGGTGGTGTTCTTGATAGAGTGTCTGGAGCCATTGTGAAGTAAGTATTAACATTTATATTCAAAAATTAGCTAGAGTCCAATAGACAAATTGTGATAACAACCAATTATTTGTCAGAATATATTGTTACTGAACATTATAAAGGACCTATTTTCATATCTTTAGGTGTACAAGGCATATAGGGCTAGATTTTTACATTTTAGACCGATTGGCACTTGGTGGATTATGCCTGGTACCCACTATGTATGAAGTTGAAGTAAGAATGTGTGGAGCTGAGGTAAGAATGTGTGGAGCTGAGGTAAGAATGTGTGGAGCTGAGGTAAGAATGTGTGGAGCTGAGGTAAGATTGTATAGAGTTGAGGTGAGAATGTATGGAGTTGAGATAAGAATATGTGGAGTTGAGGTATGAATGTATGGAGTTGAGATAAGAATATGTGAAGTTGAGGTATGAATGTATGGAGTTGAGATAAGAATATGTGGAGTTGAGATGTGAATGTATGGAGTTGAGATAAGAATATGTGGAGTTGAGGTATGAATGTATGGAGTTGAGATAAGAATATGTGGAGTTGAGGTGAGAATGTATGGACTTGAGATAAGAATATGTGGAGTTGAGGTGAGAATGTATGGAGTTGAGATAAGAATATGTGGAGTTGAGGTGAGAATGTATGGAGTTGAGATATTTGGAGTTGAGGTAAGAATATGTGGAGTTGAGGTAAGAATATGTGGAGTTGAGGTGAGAATGTATGGAGTTGAGATAAGAATATGTGGAGTTGAGGTGAGAATGTATGGAGTTGAGATAAGAATATGTGGAGTTGAGGTGAGAATGTATGGAGTTGAGATAAGAATATGTGGAGTTGAGGTATGAATGTGTGGAGTTGAGATAAGAATATGTGGAGTTGAGGTGAGAATGTATGGAGTTGAGATAAGAATATGTGGAGTTGAGGTAAGAATGTGTGGAGTTGAGGTAAGAATATGTGGAGTTGAGGTAAGAATGTGTGGTTTTGGTAAGAATGTGTGGAGTTGAGGGTGAGGTAAGAATGTGTGGAGTTAAGGGTGAGGTAAGAATGTATGGAGTTGAGATAAGATAACATAGACCAAAAAATCCAGGTTAAAGCAGAGTATCTCAGCTAATAGGCTCAGCAGATCCTAGCACCAGTGTCAGCTAGCATGTATGGAGATAAAGAAGAAGAGAATTGTTAATTTATTACGATAGTGCAAGTGCATTGTGGATTATACATTTTGGTGAAAATTAGTATTAAGTTTTAGTTTTCCAACTTTTTACCAAATTTTACTTTCAGTATTGCAAATACTGCTACCTGTGCTCTGCATTCTGTGACACCATTTGTACGCCAGGTAAGAATTGGTTTGAAATCTGAACTACGTTGAAGCAAACTGGTATTGAGAAGGATATTTAAAGAATATTTGTATTACTAATGGTTAAAAGATAACATTCCCTAAAATGTAATAAATATTTTGAAATTTAAAAATTGAACGTGTGAAAGATAAAAAAAAAAAAAAAAACTTTCAACATCTTCCGAGGCAAGACAAAAGTCTTTCAGTTTGTGGGAATGACTGGCAACCTGACACCAACATAAAACACACTGGTTATTAATATTAAGTCAAGAGAATGGCAGTCAAACTTGTGGAGATGACTGGCAACAGGAAACTAACATACACCATAAGAGTTATTACAATTGAATGGTAGTTCAACATGAAACTAGCCTAAAACGTAAGGGGTTTTCACCTTTTAGACAAGGGAATGGTAGTTCAGCCTATGAAGATTACTGGCAACATGATACAAGCATACAACATAAGGGTTTTTAACTTTTAGACAAGGGAATGGTATTTCAGTCTGTGGAGATGCAAACTGATACTAGCATGCAACAAAAGGTAAGGTTTACTTTTTTGTAGACATGAAGAAAATCTCTCTTATTTAGGACACGACTAGAAACCTAATACAAACAAGATGACAGGTGGTATCTTCTCTTAGACGAATAATGAAACAGTATAAAATTTAAAATATGTATGGGCGGTTTTTTGCCTCCATTTATTGAAAAACAATATCTGTAAAATTGGTGCATAAAATGTTGTGACTGTGTGAAGTGGGAATGCAGCAGAAATTATAAAAAAGATAATAAAAGAATTGTGTTTAAAAAAAAAAAAAAAAGATGTGGAGGACATATAATAACTTTGCTTATTTAGGGAGAGAATAATGGGCAGGAGAAAAAAAAAAAAAAAGGTAATTATAGGATACAGTCATAAGGTTGATATCAAAGTGATTGTACAGGATAAAATAGAATTTAGAAATGGACTGCAAGACCTGTGTGACATATAATCGCACAATAGGACATTGAAAGAATGAATCCTTTATAATCACTGACTCATACAGATGTTTGCGGCATCCGTGGGTTAGGCATTGCAAGTCCGACTCGTAATTCCAACGTACTGCGATCGAAACCCACTGCTTGCTTTTTATCATGGTATGGGGTGTCGCAGGTTGACCCAGCCTAAAATGGGTACCAGGATGGGCTGTCCTGTGGAAGTAGAGATGGCAGGCGTAATGCTGACCACATTACCCACCTAGTGCTGATGGTCTGAAAAAATATGGGCGCTCTTCCCATATACCCGATGCGCCTAAAGGCGTGAAAAGGGATCTTTACTTTACTTACATACAGATGTTTGCTAGATTATTATTCTGTGTACACTCAGAATGACCTAATTAAGGACACCTAACAGCCAAGTTTACAGAATAGCACTGAATATAACCTGCATATCCACAGGTGGTGTTCTTGATAGAGTGTCTGGAGCCATTGTGAAGTAAGTATTAACATTTATATTCAAAAATTAGCTAGAGTCCAATAGACAAATTGTGATAACAACCAATTATTTGTCAGAATATATTGTTACTGAACATTATAAAGGACCTATTTTCATATCTTTAGGTGTACAAGGCATATAGGGCTAGATTTTTACATTTTAGACCAATTGGCACTTGGTGGATTATGCCTGGTACCCACTAAAGGCTGGGTCAACCTGGAAACTAAGGAATTTTTGAAAAAGAAAAAAGCCTGGCTCTATCAAACCTGAACCCATGACTTTCCTATCCGCAGGTGAACATCTAGTAGCTAGACCATGGCAGCTTCACTGAAATTATAGCTTGATGTGTTAATATAAATGCACGCAAGACTCAGTCCTGAAACAAAGCCAAAGTGCATAAAGGAATGCACAACCAGGACTTTTCACAGTTTACAACCTGTGAATGCCATAAAACAAATAATGTAAATGCAGCGAGACCAAAGCTGTATAGCTGTTACACATAAATAATCTGGTGTTACAAATAAATAATCTGGCCTGTCTTGTAAGGATGACTTAATGTTATACGTAGTTGAATGTTTACTTCATACACTCTTGACCGTGCAATAAAGTATACATAAATGACACCAAACACACATTTTAAATAACAAAATTGGGACAGCTAGACTGGATATCACAATGTGCAGGTTTCAGAATGTGAGTTTTTGAACAATTATTGTCAAGATAATTCTGAATCCCAAAAGTTGAGAGAAAGTAAACCATTTACAGATACATGGTGAGCTTCAGACAGGATTATCATTTGGATAGATAACATAGGGTTTGATGCAGTGCCTGCAAAGAAATTCGGTGTAATGATTTACATTATTCATTGTGTGGGTTGTGGGACAGGGCTCCAATTGGGGGCGGGGGTAGGGGGGGGGGAAGAAAAGACCTGCTGCCCTCCCCTCCTTTTAAAGCATATTGTGAAAGATGACTAATTAGGGGGTTTTGCTTCGAAGTCAAAGTGCTTCTGTCTGAGAGGCAAGGAGCCAACAGTCTGCATATAATGCAGAACTGTAAAACAGATGTGCAATCAAAACTTTCAAGTACTGAAACAAGACCAAAATCCAGAAGTGGACAAACAACCAGAACTCTCTGCTGGCATTTACAATGCTAAGAAGACGTTTACATTATCACAAACATCAGAGACAGTCAAAATTGGGATGTTGGTGATATATGCTTTTGGAGATTACAAGTTGTGAAGAGGCATGATCACTTGTGCCAGTCACCAAGGCACTTCATGATGATGTGTTTTCAACATGAACCTGTCAGTGCTCAGAGTTTGAGGATGTTTCTTGAGCAAACAATTCTGTCTGCTCAATAACTCCTAATGCTTTTTTTTTCTGTAACGAAATTACTCTTTTATTTATGCTTCAGAAGATTAATTTCACAAGTTTCCTGTGCAACATTTAATTAATACATGTCTGATATTTTGTTCAGCTCTCTGCCATCGTTCAGCAAGGAGGAAGTGGAGGAGGACATAGCGTCGGTGAAAACATGGATTGAACAGAAGAAAGATGAACTGTAACACAACCCACGTTTATCCAGAAATGACATGGCCCACATTAAACTAGTTACACATTTGATCTTAGTTAATATATTTCTTTATAAGATCTTCTTTAAACTTGTTAATTATTTATCACATGAATTATGACACATGGCATGTTTCTTATATGTTAGTTTACATAGTTGATAGAGCATCTGCATATTTTTCAGCAGATATTTTTAACCATTGAATTCGGTTCTTGGCAAGTTTCTCCTGTATTAATTAACTAAGACACTTGACAGAGCATCTGCAAGTTTTTCAGTGATTGTTATACCATTTGAATTAGGTTCTGGTCAAGTTTCTCCTGTATTAACTGACAGTTGATAGAGCATCTGCAAGTTTCTCAATAATTTGTTATTATATGAATTAGGTTCTTGGCAAGTTTCTCCTAAATTTACTAACACAGTTGATAGAGCCTCTGTAAGTTTCTCAATAGTTTTGTATCGTATGAATAAGGTTCTCCTATATTAATTAACTGACACTGTCGATACAGTATCTGAAAGATTTTCACTTGTTATAATTTAAAACAGAAATTTCTGATGCTCTGATTAAGCACTTTACAGAAGAATCAGTACTGGGAAGTACAGCTTCTATAACAACTGTTATAAATGGAAGCTTGGTTTTTTTTTAATGTTACAAATAACAGCTCTTTGAGTAACAAAAGAACTAATTATAAGTTGATTTGTTGATTTAAAGATGGCATATTTCTCAAGTCTTCTTCTGTCACAGCCAGCGACGTTAACTCATTCAGAGTTAATCGTGTACTTCCTTATGTCTTGTAACATTTTTAACTCAGTCACACCAAGACTTGTTTTTCTTGTTGGTAAAACTCATGGAAATAGAGTTCAAATAATTAAAGTTGGGCACTTTTTTTTGTTCTCAGTAACCATTCATTGTTAAAACGTCTAATGGCATGTTGTGTTTTGGTTTACAGCTAAGCTGTGGTATCTGCACATTTCAAAATTAGTCACACTCTTTAAATGACATGCTAGTTAACAAGCAAAATGTCTATTCTCTCCCCCCCCCCCCCCCCCCAGGCTCTGGAACCTAGACAGATAATAAGATTCCATGTTACTGTGGGCAACACATGTTAAATAATGTTAACATGAGGCATTCAAATACTCCAGTCCTTGCAATCCATGTTTAACTTTCAGTTTCAAACAACTGGCCATACATTCGTTGTTTTACACACTTGTGTCAACTCCTAATGTTTCATCAATTTGTTACACTAGCCCATTTTGCCTCAATTATTATTTTAACTCATTCTGTCTCATATGTGTTATTTTAACTTCAAATCAAAGCATTTACTAGTTTAAAGTAACAACTTCTTATGGTATAATAAATTAAAGTAACATTTGTGTAGGGCTAATTTATAACTAATTTAACTGTCCCCTAGTATGGACAGAAATAAAGAGTTAACAAGTGAGATGGTTTTATCAGATGAAAACTACAGCAGAGTTTGGAAATGTAAAATATAGCAGACTATATCAGTTGACACTGTACAGAGAAATGTCAAGGTCTGGTCAAATTATGTAGAGCACATATTTTTGTTGTTTTTGGTTTCTCTACAATTTCAGTATAACTGTTAGAAACATATGTAATATATGAAGATCTGTATTGTTTAAGTGTAGTTAGTATTTGTAGACTGTACAGCCTTGTTAAAAGCACTAAAGGGACTATTTTACAGTCAACAGGGGGTCTTTGTGGCCAAGCTGTACGCTTTGTGCTGTAAATGTTGTGTGTTCCATAATGGACCCCATCCTTTGGTTCAATAAAATTTGTTTTGCAGACGCCCCACTTGGGGTCTTTGCAAAAGTTTTTGCTTTGTGTATGTTATGGCTGACCAGCCTCTGCAGAATAGTGAAGTCCATCTTCTGGCTTTTAAGGACCCTTTAAAACAGTAAACTGTCAGTTTTCTGTAGGGTTGTCTACATTTCTGCATTATATATGGTGAACGTAAATGTATCTGTACACATATCACTATAAATTCAGTTAACTTGATGTTTCCGTAAATTCTGAATATACTTTTTAAATATTGTAAAGCTAACTGTGTGTAGGGAAACAAACAATATATGTCCCCAGCGGAAGATTAGAATAGAAAGAGAGCTTATGGTTTAAAATAAAATGTAAACAATGCATTTTGGCTACATTATAAGATAATGATGTGGCCAGATTAAAAGATCTGGTGAATATCAAGCTGAAGGAAGAGATGAGAATAAAATTTGAGCTGATACTAAAATAAAAAATAAAACAAAGGTAAGTTGTATATTTAAGCCAGATTAAAAGAGATGGCATTTGTGAAAAAAATTGACTTCTGTGCTGTAATTTACAGTATGTTATTTTTATTATATAAATGTTATAGATATCCATGTGTGCTGTAGCTTTATTTACATAACACATGTGTGTAATGTATTATGTTTGTTGATTTAATCATTTGTTAACACTTAGGTCTGGTTAAAAATGTTACCTGGTTACAAATGTTAATTAACCTTTAGAGTAACCACAAAGGAACAAACAGGCTGTTTCCATGCCAGTGGTTCATTAGGTAAATGGTGCTAAACGCAATTTTTTATGGGATGTTATCAACATCACATCAGCCACCTATACTTCCTTGGAAATTTTCTGGTATCCATTTTATGCTGGGAGCCCAGGTGAATTGTTAAAAAAAAAACTAGTAGTGTTTCACATTCATTCATTTTCAACACTGGCTTACTGCCAATTTCTCCAGTCACTCCTATTTGTCCTACTAGTTATGTTTTATTCACAGTGAATCAAGAGCAAATTTATATTATTTTGAATTTCCTGCTACTTAAAAAATATCCCCAAGTGTAATTACCTCTATTATACACAGTATTATTATTATTGGTATAATATTTTAATGATGTCATAGACCAGGCAATGAAGTAAACCTTAATGTTAAAATATCTGATATGAAAGTGTATTGTATTGTCGGTGTAAAAATGTCAGTTGAGATTTGACTGAGAACTTACAGTACTGTAATGGTTGAAATTGTTGTTTCCGATAAATCACTGAAGGAACATGGTAATAGCAGAACGAATTAAACTGTTTGAGTCCCAATTCTGTCTGTCCTCTCCTGGCTGCTACCTGAAGGTGGGACCACCCCGGTGCCTTTTGAGCATTCTGACAGGGCCAATCCTAGATACCTCCATTCAAATTCCTAAGAAGGATAAGGGGTGTTTAGTTCCAAGAAGCACCTACGTGACATCATCTTCACTGTATATTACCATCATAAAATGTGTTCTCAAGCTTGTCAAATCTGGCTAGAACATATTTAAAAAATCAGGATTTCCTAGTGGCCACTTCCTCTGCATATTTAACCATACACCGATTTTTCATTGAGGTTATTTCTTCCTTTGGGCATCTGTTATTGCACCTTCTGGAATTAAAAGTCAACCATAAGTTATGTAATACTGTTGTTGCTGCATTTGTTTCTCTTGTCTGCAGAGAGGTTTTTCCTGACATAAATCAAGGATGCTTGCCAGACATCAGTTTCTGTACAGGCTAGTATAATAGATAAGTGGCTAGAAATGTCATGGCAGCCTTAAAGTTGTGGGTCTCCAGATATTTTCTTAAAGGTGATATTAGCTTCCAGGTCAATCCAGCCTAATATGGAAACCAGAAAATGTCCTGGGAGAAACGGGCCAAGGATCTTATGCCTGATGCACTAATGGCAAGAAGGGGTTACTTTACTGTGTCTCACAGTATTTTAGGTAGGCATCCTAACATTTCCTCTTCTTAGTGGCTAAAGTAAAGATCCCTTTGCACGTTCATTTTCTCAGTGACTAAAGTAAAGATCCTTTTACACGTTCCTTTACTCAGTGGCTAAAGTAAAGATCCCTTTACACGTTCCTTTTCTCAGTGGCTAAAGTAAAGATCCCTTTACACGTTCTTTTTCTCATTGGCAAAAGTAAAGATTCCTTAACATGTTCCTTTTCTCAGTGGCAAAATTAAAGATCCCTTTACACGTTCCCTTTCTCGGTGGCAAAAGTAAAGATCCCTTTACACTTTCCTTTTCTCAGTGGCTAAAGATCCTTTTACACGTTCCTTTTCTCTGTGGCAAAAGTAAAGATCCCTTCACATGTTCCTTTTTTGGTGGCAGAAGTAAAGATCCCTTTACACATTCCTTTTCTCAGTGGCTAAAATAAAGATCCCTTTACACATTCATTTTCTCAGTGGCTAGAGTAAAGATCCCTTTACACATTCCTCTTCTCAGTGGCTAGAGTAAAGATCTCTTTACACGCCACTGGCACATGAGGCTAGACTAATATTTTCATAGACTAATCTGCTCTCAGTGGATGATGTGGTCAGCATCACATTGACTGCCTTTAATTCCCAGAACTTTTCTTGGTATCCATTTGGGGTTGGGTGGACCTGGGAGCCATGATCATGCAGGAAAAAAATCCAGGCCCATGAGGATTTGAACCCACAATCTTCAGATTCATAGTCAAGCGTCTGACTGCTACCCCACGACAGCTCCATTCATTGGCTAAACATGTCTTAAATTTGCTTATACACGATGTCAGTTAATATATAACAGTGTCATTTGAATGGTTGCTGATTCAGTGGAAGTTCACCCAGGCTCCAGATGTTTTATCATGTTTTGTATAGTTTTTTATTTAGAAACCAGCAAAGTTGTGTGTTTTTTTAAAACTCAAATGTTGGAAATGCCTTGGATTGTCAGAATAACTGACAGTGTCTGGCAAAAGCTAAGGCAGTTAGAGCTTTATATGCCACTATCAGAAATTGAGTGTTCTTTGGTGATGTGATAAGAAGTGGTGTTTTGGGGAACAGCTTGACTGAAAAGATCAGCAGTGTAAGGGGCTGAGACAGGTGGAGATGTGTGATGCTAATGAGTCTAGGATGTGGCATTAGGAATTGATCCAGAACACACAGAAACCACATCGGTGGTGAGACGATGCTTAAGCTACCTGGCAAAGCACATGATGATATGCAAAAATAATGAACATCCTTTAGCATAGAAAAGCATAAGTTGACTCTTTCACCCAATCAATGCACACCAAAAAAAAAAAGGGGGGGGGGGGGGGGCATGAACTCTAGGATTTCTGGAAAAAATCCTAGAAAAAACACAACTGTATTACACAGGCCATTAATAAATTTACAAAAAATGTATTAATCTACATTTTAAATTTGTTTCTCTTGAAAAGTATAAAGGGTTAATTAATAAGCATGAACAGAGTGAAGAATTAAATGGAATACATTCCTGGGGCGTTGAAAAACACCAAAATGTATTGTGTGATTTATGCAGTGACCTCTGTCACTGAGGCTTACAGGAAAATTTAACATCAACTTGGCTTTAAAAAAATGCCACTGGGGTCATAAGAAAATACTCCTGAATGCTAATTTTTGTTCCTTTATTCATATCTGGTCATGGAAGATTGGAAAAAATAATAGCTCAAGGCATGGTACCAGGAAGGAGGGGCAGAGGCCAACCAACATAAAGATGCACACAGGATATAAGTGACTTTGAATACGAAAGTACACAAGGCAGGAGAGACCGAGTTTCTTTCAGGCAGACGGTGATGAGAGCGATGTTCTGCAAAAGGACTGGCTACATGTTGATGAAGATTCATATTCTGGCTGAATAAACACCACGAAGGCATATATAGGGCGGGTGGAATGTAACCGCTTTTTGAGAGAACAGGTTACTTCAGACAAGGCAATATATGGTATTTACGGAAGTGATATATTTGGGCTTCTTGTAGTGGAAGGGTTAAAGTTTGTACCTCATGTATGTGTTTGAAAAGACAGGATCAGACAGCCATACATATGAATAAATGTGTTTTGAAAGCAAGTGAGCAGTTACCAAACATTTAATGGAGAATTAAAAAGGGTGAATCTCAAATATATTTGTGTGATATCGTGCGCATTCCACCTTGATTGTTTTTTTTTTTAGCAAAATTTCAATCCCACTCCCAGTTTTTGTGGTGTCTTGGATTTTTTAAATTTCAGACAGTTGTAGTTTCTTTTTAAAACCTTTTGTGGGGTCTTGTTACATCTCAGCATTGTTACTGCTTGTTTTACCAGTAGTTGTGCTCTGAGAAGTTCAAAGATTTCCTGTTTTTAAATACTTTTTTTATGTTGTTTAATTAAACATTTTTAAAACACATTATGGCTTGGCGTTATCTTTTGTATGCTCTTTTTAAAAAATAATTCAAATTTAGAAGCTATGTTCATACCCAGATGAGTTGGGTTACTGCAACATATCTGCAAAACTTTTGTCTCTCACCATTGGTTTTACACTCTTACAGTGCTATTCATCCATCTCTTATTGTTATTCTCCCACTTGTATTGCTGTCTACCTCTTGCCTGCATGCCTTTAACTATTCAGTATGGTTCTTGTAAATCTAGCCTTTAAATGAGGTGAGATTATTTCACTTGTTTCCTTTCTTTTAACAACAATTTGTATTCCTGGTCCCTGCAAAACATGTGTATTTGATTGTTTTAGTTTCCATAAAACACGACATATTTGTTGTATATGTTAAAATCTCCAGAGCTACAAATTAACCTTTCTAACTGCCTGTTTTTACTGTGTCGCATAGCGGTGAGTTAAAACATCTGCAAATTTTCATTCCTAATTATATTTCATGTGTATTCTTTCTTCTGCATCACCAATGTTTTTCATTACTGATATGTTAGTTGCGTATCCTTTACAGGATGGTGTAAAACAACCTCAGTATTTTTTGGCTGTTGAAGTTTTTCTAAGCAAATTTTACATTCAGTAGTTTGCCACTGCTTTCTGAACAGTCATCTCTCAGTACCACTGTCAAAACCAATGCAAGACAAAGTGTCAGCAGCTGGGATTAAACCCAGCACCCTGGCATTACAAAGCCCAAGCTACAAACATATAGAAATGTGTTCATGCACAACTTAACTGTATCAAAAAGTCTATGGAAATATCCTGAACGTGAAATTAAACGGAGCTTTTATTGCAGATGACTGTGAATGAGGAAGAGGTACTCATGCATTTTTTCATAACTGATACCAACTTCATGTACCATGTTATACGAACAAAGTCAATGCAGGCATGCATATTCTTCCCATAGCCCATGGCACTAGGCATTGTATCTTTCTACAGCCTTCTGTCTTGTGTACTGCCAATCATTTTTGATACTGTGTTCCTCCATTTCATGATTGAACCCACATGGGAATACCTCTCCAAGCAACCTCTGAAACACACATGCTTGTGAATTCAACAACAAAGTTCAAAACAATCCACAGCCTTTATTTCATAGTGTCAGCTAACAGCTGTACCACCTTGCCATGGAGACACCCAAAAAAAAAAATGCATTCAAACTATCATACTCTTCACATATGACTCAATAGAGCTCATGAACTGTTTCAGTACAAACTAGTGTACTTAATTCTATGGGGGCAACTGGGCCGATCTGTCTGCCAAACAGCAAAATAGCCAAACAAAACGGCTGGGCAGATCCGTCGGCCCAGTAATACAAACCTTGAGATTGGCTGGCGCTGGTCTTCATACCACCCAATCAGATTGCTTCTCGCATTTCTCTCCCATGTGGGCTGTTCAATGGCAGCTTTTATAAAAGTCTGTTGTTTTCTGTAATTTTACATTGACTTTTTGGGGGCGTTACCTGTGCCCAATAATGGTGAAAAGGACTGTTGTGTCATAGCAACCAAAACATAGCAGAAGGCAGGAGTAGAAGCATGTGCCGGATGTGTCTAAAGGGCTTCCACATAAAACACAAGTATTAGGACTTATTAAGGCTTCATTCATAACAAAATTTACTCAAATATTTAGTAAAGTTTGTCCAAAGAAAGAAAACGCATGCAGAAATATCCACAATCAACATGGCTAAAAAAATAAATGTCTGGTATCATTGAATGTCAGCGTGATTTATAAAGATTGTGTTAGCCCCCCCCCCCCCCCCCCCCCCCCCCGGCTCCATCTTCATGGCACTGAAACTCCAAATGAGGATCCATCTCCAAAGGGTATATTAGTTCCATAATTTGAGCATCAAGCAAGTGGTCTTCACAAAGCTTCCTGTATGACAGTCATCACCTTGCTCAGAATTGTATCTCTATTCTGATGTGTCACCTGCAACAATGTGTTATTAGAAGTTAGTTAATGTGCACTGATGTAACATGATCCGGTGATCAGGACAAGGACAATTTAGAGGAGGACTGCACACAGAAAATACTAGTAGTTTAAAGCCACTTGAAGAAAAGGTGTGAATGGAGAAGGGAAAATACTGCAAAACTATACAACATCAACACAGACGGGAATTACGAGATACACCTGGCCAAAATAGAAGAAGGGAACAGATTCAAAAACACAGTGGAGGACACAAGGGCAAGATAATAAGAAGAGTGAACTGGACGGAGGATGATCCAGGAGGGAAAACATCAGGAAGACAAGGCCAAAAGGAACACACTGAGACAAAGACAGGAAAGAGCGGTCTAGCTATCAGGATAGGGACATGAAGCCAGAGAGCTGGCACATATACCATAATCTTACCAAGTGGCGCATACAAACCAGACCACAAATATAACTGAAGACTAGTTTGAAAGTAAACAAGTTTTTTTTTCTAGAATGGTACGGTATGTGAAGCAGGATATAAATACTGTTCATTATTCTAATGTGTTACTGTAGTCACACAGGTCTTGCAACTGATTCTGTCATTCCTATCTACCCTGTACAATTTTGTTTATGCTGTGTACGGAATCTAATCGGGTACCTATCGCATATACATCAAAAAATTTTGGGCATCCTAATGCAATGTGTTTGCTTTCAATCTAATTTAAGGGTACCTGTCTTAGAATGAGCCAACATCTCTTCAAAATACTTTTGGGAAATCCTCACTAAAGAATCCTTATCAATTTAGTTAGTTAGTAGTTAGTTAGTTAGTTGCCTTTCAATTTCCATAGTGCCAATCCTCCCCTCAGTATGATTTTTAGTACCAGTTTTTTGGTTCGGCGTAGCTGGTGTCGTTAGTTTGAGCCAACCGATCTTCTTTATAGTCTGCATACTTCTGGCGAGTGATGTGGATTCACTGCCACCAAAGTCCTCTATTCTTCCCATTTCTCTGAGGGCATTGATAATATCAGCATGATTATCTGAAATAATAGATACTGTTTATCAATTGCCTAGCAGGGCACATTTAACTGCATATCCTCAACAAGAAAAAAAAAAAAAAAAACCAGAGCATTTATTGACTGTAGCTTTTAGAGACAATTTTCTCTCAGTACCTTGCCGCTATCTTTAAATGTACAAGAGGGCTGCGTGCTCTAGATGCAAAGCATTCGCCTCGAGTGATGGAGGTCCTGTCCTGGGTTCAGGCATCGGTGGAGGCTGGGATTTTTTCACGAGGATGTCTTATTTCCCCTGGTCTCTGAGTAGTAAGATTTGACGCCCCTGTGTATTGTTGTGCACATTCGCAAACACCCTGGCAGCTTGAAATAAAAAAGAGTAGCCTAATGGCCTTACCTAGGCACAATTTGGAGTTAACAATCTACCCAAAGCATTTAATGATCCACGCCGTGCACTATGTTGAGATTCTTCGGACTGAGGCTTGAGTTAGAAATAGAATGGAGCAGTTCTGGGTTACAACCTGTGTGCCATGATGTTGATCCGTTGTTTAAAACCTAAACCTTAATGTACACTGTGCACACCATTGTCTAATTCAATGCAAAGTGGTCTACTACCAAATCACCGGCTACTGTCGGAGTGTGAAGTGTTAGGCCTTCACATAATACAGTCAACTTATCGTGCCCAACTACTTCCATCAACAACAAACTGCAATTCTGGTGGCGACTGTTGGCTCTGGTGTCTCTAGCAACTGCCATATGCTTTATTGCATGCGCATAATTCTGGATTGTGCCACTTTTTCAAATGGGACAGTAAAGGAAATTTAATTTGATTTTCACTGGCACAAGAACAGAGAAAGTATGGGGAAACCCAACTGCAGCGAAGTTGAAAACTCGACTAAGACTAGGACTATGCTATTGGCCTAATTCCCTTCCTCGTCACCTCTTGCCTAGAACTATGTCTGGTATGATGCTGGACCAACCGTAGCCAAACTGGTTAAAAAACATAATCTTGCCTCTGTGGAAGTGTAATCCTGGACCACTGTAGTTAATTGTGGGCTCAGAAAAAACCCCATGTAGGCTTGGAAGCTGAAAGTGATGAATTAACCCCCCCCCCCCCCCCCCCCCAAAAAAAAAGACTATATGCTCAGGAAAAATCCCATGTAGGCTTGGAAGCAAAAAGTGATGAATTAACCCCCCCCCCCCCTCCCCAAAAGTAAAAAAAAGACTATGCTCAGGAAAAACCCCATGTAGGCTTGGAAGCGAAAAGTGTTAGCTCATATAAAAGCTTGAAATGCAATAAAATATTACTTTCTTACCTCAAACACAACTGAATGAACACCATTTCTTAACTCCTCTACTATAGGAATAGGTTTTCCTTTAGGGACAGGTATTGTTGCAATTACGACTACATCAGGATGAGATATCAGTTTCTGAACAGCCTGTAAATAAAAATCTGAGCAAAATACAGTATCTACAAAACACACCCAAAAAAAATGTTACATTATACTTGGAAAATATTTTTTATTAAAAAAAAAATTAATTGCATGTTAACATAGTAATAACACAACACTAACATGTTAACACAGTATCTACAAAACATTTGATGGTTAACATATTATCTACAAAATACTTGAATGTTTCAAACATTACTTTCTTAACTGCATGACAACATAAATAAGTTTGGTAGAAATCCCAAGACCAGAATTTCAGTCTCACAATGGGATACTGTAAACTCAAAGAATACCTTCATACAAAATCACGCATTACAAGGTATGTATAAAGACAAATGGGGCAAATATGTATGATTCTCATCAGCTTTGAGTGAGAACAAGCTGTTGCTTTCTTGGCATTATTCAATATATGAAGTGTTTAGGAGAAATACAATTAAGTATTCTTTTCAGGGAATGTCAATAACAAAATGTAAAAAGGAAATAACATAAAATGTATTTAACCTTAATAAAATTTTTGCTGAAAGACTCCATTTTGCCAATTTCGTCAACAAGAAATATCTGCTTCCTTTGTTTGCTTCCTTCTGGATGGATCTGTTAAATGAAGGAAGATAATGTCACTGAGGTGGTTACTGAATGTGTGTGGCAACCAAGATGTAACAGAATAAAATAAAAACTGGATTGTTTCTTTTCTTTCAGAAGCTCTGGTTCCAAGTGTTCATTACATTTTACACCTGGATTAGCTGCAACAATGTAGTGGCTGGACATTTGGACTCACAGCCAAAAGTGAATTAGACAGATGGCATTCAAAATGTGTTTTAAATTTTATGTTCAACAGCCTCTTTTTCTGTAGTCCAGACGACACAGAAGTAACCTGGTTTAATTTCAGAAACACAAAAGAAGTTTATATATGTTTTTCAGAGTAATATAACATGTACGACTATTTAACAAGTTTTGCTGTCCAAAGTTGGCCGAGCTGTCTATAGGCATAAACCAATGCCATTTCTATAACAAACTAGATTATTGAAGGCTGGGAATCAAAGTCTGAGTCCGAAGTGACCCTTGGCTCTTCTTGGTGATGGTAACTGTACGGCATGCAATGAGAAAAATCAGCATATAAAAAGCCAAAATGTAGAAACTGAAGAGGAAAGAATTCCATGAGGCTCTGTGGCTTAGAGGTTAGTGAAATCATTTCTTAATGTAATCCTCAACATTTACAAGGGTTTGATTCCCACCACTCTGGGCAGTTTAGAAAAGGATCATTCTCATGGCTTTCAGACAGCGGTATCAGAGTTGCAACATGGAAGAGACTGCGACCTCACTATGTAAAATACCTATAGTTAATAGTGGATACAATGCAGCCAATCTCCATTATGAAGAGGAAACAGCTTAATTTAAAAAGAAAAAACATTTTTCAGAAAAGGATTAATTAATAAAGGCAATATATACAGTCAGGAGATTTCAAGTTCTTCACTGGGAACATAACAGACACCCTGGAAACAAGAATACAAGTGAGACAGGATGTCTTGTTTTCCCCACTTTCAATAATACCAACTATAAACTGGGTTATCGAGACACAAACAACTAAAACTACTAAAAGAGGTGAAATTCAATTGACCTCAACAAATCAGCTCAATGATCTTGACTTTGCTGTTATTTCCCTCTTATCTTATTCACCAAATCAGATGCAAGATAAAAGATTATACCTGATGTAAGTTTGCTGGGGAATCTATGCTCCACTGGGAAACATAAGGCAGGAGATGAAGAGTAGGAGGAAGATAATGAAGAAAAGAAAGAAGACGATAAAGAGGCTGAGAAAAGTGAAGAAAAGGTGGAGGAGAAGGAAGAAAAAGAGGAGGGGGAGAGGAAAAGGAAGCAGAAAAAAAAAGGCAGAGAATACTGAGAAAGAGGAGGAGGAGGAAAAGAAAAACAGTAGAAAAGAACAAGAAACAGAAGGCAACTGACAGTCTTCATATAAATGATATGATGTAAGAGCAAAGGACGCCATGACTAGCGGGGAGAGAGGAGAAGGAGGAAAAAGGTTGGGGAGGGGAAGGGTGGGATAAACTGTGGTAAATGATGCCTTAGGAGAGTAATGAAATAAGCATGACTTACAAGGAGCTGAAGTGTAGGCAGGGCAGTCTGTTCAAATGATGACAAATTCACAGTATACTGGCCAACTTTGTATTCTCTCTGTCTGGCACCTGGTACACTCACTGAGGAATCACTAACATCAGAATCACAGGTAACATTATTGTATCCTAAACAGTGAGGGATTGGAAACAGCAAGTATCATAATGTTTTTTTTTTTTTTTTGGTGCTGAGTTTTCGAAGGCTCAGATGGTCAGGATACACCTGGAGGATGGTATAGTCCCTGGTAGAAGCTGAGGTCGGCCTCTACTATGATTTTTTTTTTTTTAAGTATTCAGAAACCATGAGCTCTGTAAACCCTTTGGCTCGGTACTATGGACATCGCGACCCTTCAGCCTTGATTTCATGACAGATACTGTTATCTGGGAGAAATGTGGCTTTTCTGCCTACCCCCGGGTGTGAACCTGGACCACAAGGAGCTCGTCACTCGGTCGTCGCGCAGTGGTTTTAACCAACTGCGAGCTGGACCTACTATGATATAAAGATGTGTGTAAGTGGGACATTAATGATACAGTTTTTGAGGTGAAATAGTGGGACACAGGATGCCATGTACTGTGTTGTACAGAGAAGGAAAATTAGGAAGGGAGAAAGGCACAAAGGATAAAATGACTGCAGACCGGTTCAGAATCGAGTTACAAAATGCAGAAGAAGAAGTATGCATTCACTGTCAAAGTCTGGAGAAAAAGAACTCACACACACATGCTGCAACGCTGATGCCTGTTCATTCTTGTATTTTTCCAGTTCATCACTTCTTTTAACTGCTTCTTCACTGTTTATCTTCTAGTTATTCCCTGGATGATTCAATCTGACAACAAAATTATGGTGATCTGGCCCACACTTGCAAGATTGTGAGGTTTTACTACTAAAGAGAGTGGTTTCGGTGAGAAAGAGAGAGAGAGAAGAGTGGTTTCGGTGAGAGAGAGAGAGTGGTTTCGGTAAGAGAGAGAGAGAGTGGTTTCAGTAAGAGAGAGAGTGGTTTCAATGAGTGAGAGAATGGTTTCGATGAGAGAGAGAGTGGTTTCGGTAAGAGAGAGAGTGTTTTCAATGAGAGAGAGAGAGACAGTGGTTTCGGTGAGAGAGAGTGGATTCGGTAAGAGATAGTGGTTTTGGTAAGAGAGAGTGGTTTCGGTGAGAGAGTGGTTTTGGTAAGAGAGAGAGAGTGGTTTTGGTAAGAGAGAGAGAGTGGTTTCGGTGAGAGAGAGAGTGGTTTAGTTAAGAGAGAGAGTGGTTTCGGTAAGAGAGAGAGATTTTTTTCAGCGAGAGACAGAGAGAGAGTGGTTTCAATAAGAGAGAGACTGAGTGGCTTCCATTAGAGAGTGAGTGGTTTTGATGAGAGAGAGGGTGGTTTCAGTGAGAGAGAGTGGTTTCGGCAAGAAAGAGAGTGGTTTTGGTAAGAGAGAGAGAGAGAGAGAGTGGTTTCAGTAAGAGAGAGTGGTTTCAGTGAAAGAGAGAGAGTGGTTTCGGTAAGAGAGAGAGAGTGGTTTTGGTAAGAGAGAGAGAGAGTGGTTTCGGTAAGAGAGTAAGAGTGGTTTCAATGAGAGAAAGAGTGAGTGGTTCCGGTGAGAGAGAGTGGTTTCAGTGAGAGAGAGTTTTGGTTGGTTTCAGTGAGAGAGAGTGGTTTCGTTGAGAGAGAGAGTGAGAATGAGAGAGAGAGAGTGGTTTCGGTGAAAGAATAGTGAGAATGACAGAGAGTGGTTTTGGTGAGAGAGAGAGTGGTTTCAATGAGAGAGAGACTGAGTGGCTTCCATTAGAGAGTGAGTGGTTTTGATGAGAGAGAGGGTGGTTTCAGTGAGAGAGAGAGAGTGGTTTTGGCAAGAAAGAGAGTGGTTTCGGTAAGAGAGAGAAAGAGAGAGTGGTTTCGGTAAGAGAGAGTGGTTTCAGTGAAAGAGAGAGAGTGGTTTTGGTAAGAGAGAGAGAGAGTGGTTTTGGTAAGAGAGAGAGAGTGGTTTCGGTAAGAGAGTAAGAGTGGTTTCAATGAGAGAAAGAGTGAGTGGTTCCGGTGAGAGAGAGTGGTTTCAGTGAGAGAGAGTGGTTTTGGTGAGAGAGAGAATGGTTTCAGTGAGAGAGAGTGGTTTCGTTGAGAGAGAGACAGTGAGTGGTTTCAATGAGAGAGAGAGAGTGGTTTCGGTGAAAGAAATAGTGAGTGGTTTCAATGAGAGAGAGTGGTTTTGGTGAGAGAGAGTGGTTTCAATGAGAGAGTGGCTTTGGTGAGAAAGAGAGAGAGTGGTTCAGGTGAGAGCGAGAGTGGTTTTAATGAGAGAGAATGGTTTCAGTGAGAGAGAGAAAGAGTGGTTTTGGTGAGAGAGAGAGTGGTTTTGGTAAGAAAGAGAGAGTGGTTTCAGTAAGAGAGAGAGAGTGGTTTCACTGAAAGAGAGAGAGTGGTCTTGGTGAGAGAAAGAGTGGTTTCACTGAGAGAGAGTGGTTTCGGTGAGAGAGAGAGAGTGAGTGGTTTCAATGACAGAGAGTGGTTTTAATGAGAGAGAGAGTGCTTTCAATGAGAGAGAGAGTGGTTTCGGTGAGAGAGAGTGGTTTCAATGAGAGAGTGGCTTCGGTGAGAGAGAGTGGTTCAGGTGAGAGCGAGAGTGGTTTTAATGAGAGAGAGAGTGGTTTCGGTGAGAGAGAGTGGTTTTGGTAAGAAAGAGAGAGTGGTTTTAGTAAGAGGGAGAGAGAGTGGTTTTGGTAGTCTGCATATTATCATTCAGGAGATTTGATTCCTAACAAAGACATTTATTTCAAGTTGTACAGATAAAGATGATGAAATCAGAGTTAACTAGCATTAGCAGTTTAGAAATAAAAGATGGCAATACATTGGTCACATCCTGAGGATTGGGGGAACAAGGATAGCCAAAAGAAACCCTAAGACAAGCAGCCATGAAAGAATTCAACTGTGCTGGATTTTTGATTCCGTTTATGATATTAAAAGAAGATTGCATAAGGTAGAATAGAAAGGTGGAAAAGACTGTGAGCCCTATGTAATGCATCGTCTGCATATTAGGATGATAATGAACAAATAAAATACATAAATATTTTCTGCAACAATCTCAATAAAGTATAACCAGATTATTTCATCATCCTGAAACGAAAACAAAGCTTTGACTCGAGCTGAAATGCACTCCAATGGTAACAACATCAAAACTGACCTGACTCGAGCCATCCAGCTGCCCATGCCTGACTCGAGCCAGCTGTCCATGCACTCCATCCATGGTAACAACATCAAACCCAATTCTTCGACCAGACACTCTCACTTCTTCGGTGATAAACCCTGAGCAGTGAAAGCCCTGCTTCACAAGTTCTTTGTGTACTTTGACCATCAGTGTTGTTTTACCCACACCTGTTGTAGGACACAGACATGTGAAAGATGAAGATACACTCATGGGAAACCAAACTTGGTCAAATATTTTAGAAACATGCAAGCTAAAGATGAGTGGTACAGGTAAAAGGTGATTTTGTGAGAACATGATGCCACAGGCCGTGTAGAATTTAGTTAATCTTAACTAGTCTTTTGCTCTTGAGCCTAAGGCGGCAGTGGTTCACTGCCAACTGTTTTAGGTCTTGGATGTTCATTAGGCCCATGGTTAAGGCTTCCCTGATGACGGTTCTAAGCGAGGTCTTTCTTGGTCCCCCCCCCCATGTGGAATGTAGGGAGAAAATCAAGAAAGGGATAGGTATACTGATGAAAATCACAGTAGACAGCTTAAGAGCTGAGCAGCTTGCTTGCTGGTTGTACCCCACCAGGACATCAAAACAAGCAATAAACACCTGGTGAAAAAAAGAGCCACCATGCGGATGAGAATCACCCGTGGAGAGGTCCCAGAAACCCCTTTCAGCCGTTATAGCTATGTTTGTGGCTCAGCTATATTCAGGGCCGCTGGCAAAAGCCAGGGCTGGGCTTCGAATAGCGAAAAATTTCACCCCACAAGGTAGTAGTAGTAGTTGATTTCTACCCCACCAGGACATCACACAAGCGATAAACACCCGATGACACAAAGTGCCACCATGTGGATGAGGATCACCCGTGGAGAGGTCCCAGAAACCAAGTTCAGCTATTTGACCATATTTATGGTCGGGTTATATTGCAGCCCCTGGCAAGAGCCAGGGTGGGGCTTCAAATAACAAAAAATTGCATCTCAGAAGGAGATGACTGGATTATCCCACAAGGGGATGACAATATGCAATATGCATTAGATGAGCAGAGAAAAGCACATTAAATACATGTAATTTTGAAAAACTATTTATATTCTTAAAACAGCAAACAATCTTAAATTTTGGCTATCCTCCAAATAACGGTCCCAAATTATCAAGGCCGAAAATATCCACTAATAGGGCCTCAGTCACATGTCAATTGCAAACTTCCGGGGACTATACAGCCACCGCTGAATTGCGGACTCCGGGGGACTATACCGCCACCGCCGAGAGTATCTGCGCTACACGCGGCGTGGATTGGGGCTAGACTAGATGGCTGGGACTCACGAGCAAATAAAATGAAGCAAGCTGCAGGAAATGCGGTAGCTGCTGCTCGTGAGACCCAGCCATCTAGTTTAGCCCCCAATCCACGCCGCGTAGCAGCGTGTGAGATTCTACTCAGCGGTGGTGGAAGCTGCAGGAAGTGCGCAGTTTAAGTCGCCAGAAGTACGCAATTGACACGTGACTGAGGCCCTGTTAGGATATATTTTCGGCCTCAATAATTTGGGAACGTTATTTTGGAGGATCACTGTAAGAACAACGGAAGGTATGACAGACGTGTTCCCCAATACATGAGGAGTACGACAAGGATGTGTCCTATCACCCCTACTCTTCATCACATATATGGATAAAATTGCACAGGAGTCAAACCAAAACACAGATATTATAAATGAATTACTCTTTGCAGATGACCAATGTTTGTTACAAGAAGAAAAACAAAAACTACAACAACATGTTGATTCATTGCTCACTAACTGTACAAAGTTTGACATGAAAATACAAAACACCTCAAAAACTGAAGTAATGACCATAGGAAAGAAACACAGTAATGTAAACATAAAGATCAATGACATACAATTAGAACAAGTTCAAGAATTCAAGTACTTAGGATGCATATTTACAGAAGATGGAAGACTCGATAAAGAGATACAGGCTAGAGTTCAAAAAGCCAATGCAGTCAACTACCAACTGGACGCACTTCTTTGTCATCCAAAGATCTCGTTATTAGCCAAACAGTGCCAAACGTGGACAATGAACAAATCACATATGCAAAAAATAACTACGTGTGAAATGCGATGTCTCCGAAGAGTCAGCAACAATACACAAAGAAACAGAGTCACAAACGTCAGCATTAGAGACAAAGTTGGAATAAGATCATGCATGAAACATATTGAAAGACAGAGAATGAAGTGGTTTGGCCATTTAGTAAGAATGCAACCGGATCAGATTGCCTATAAGGCCTTTTACAGTAGAACATCGAGAAGAAAGGCCAGAGGAAGACCCAGGAAAAAATGGATAGATGGAGTAGCTGAATACGGCCAGAAGATCCAGAAAACTGTCACTCAAATCATGCGAGAGGCACAAAACAAATATTTTAAACCACGACACTGGGCTGCAACCCGGTAAAAGTGAAGAAGACAATAGATAGATAGAGATAGATTCGGAGGATAGCCAATATTTGGCTCTTCTTTCAATACAGGCCGGCATGTGGAAAGCCGCCGATCGGCTTAGTGGGAGTTCTCTCCCTTGGCTGCATTGCAAACACGGAGCGGAAAAGTCACGTATCAAACGACATACTTACCTATCATCATACGGTTGCGTGTACGGTTGCGTAGTCATCATACGGTTGCGTAGGGTGTAGGGTTTGGGTTAGGGTTAGGGATAGGGTTAGCGGCGTTAGGGTTTAGGGTTAGTTAGGGTTAGGGTTAGGATTAGTTAGGATTAGGATTAGGGATAGGGGTAGGGTTAGGGGTAGGGTTAGATGTGACAATTTTGACGTAGGAGTTCCAAATAATGGCAGACAATCTGATGCTTGTGGGAGTGGCGCCACTAGATTTCTCCCAAATATGACGGCAATAGCGCGCGGCTGGTGCCCAATCGGTGGCGACGTGTCCGTTTGAGTAGTATCCACAGTCCTTCGATTGTTTGGCTGTGTATGTGACTGTGCGCGATTATTTGGAACTCCTGCGTCAAAATTGTCACATCTAACCCTAACGCTACCCCTAACCCTACCCCTAACCACGCAAATTTATCGGTCATTAAGTCATACAGATCTGCAGGAGTCACATCGGTGGCAACTAATACCACTTTTATATAAGGATATATTTATTTTTAAAAAACCCTAGATTTCCCCGAAGCGTAAAAAAAAAAAAAAAAAAACCCAGATATGGGGGAACCACCTAAGCATTGCAGCCCTGTTGTCGACCTCACTGTCTTTTTTGATTCGTGACTTTTCCGCTCCGTGTTTGCAATGCAGCCAAGGGAGAGAACTCCCACTAAGCCGATCGGCGGCTTTCCAGCTACCGGCCTGTAATGAAAGAAGAGCCCAAAATCTTTTTTACCTGGGACACCAGTTAGAAGAAAATGTCGTGCAGCAGTTTTAGCACTGGCCATTTCAAACGAAATTCTAAATCATAAACAATGATTTTTAAAAATCGTATGCTTCAGAATAAATAAGATATTTCACAGCTGGCTAATAGTAATAAATAAGAGATGACTGCAAACACACGTCTGTTAGCTCTGCCTAACTAAGGGCAATCACTCCATTGATGAAGACAGTAAATAACAGCAGTAATGGAACATGATTCTAGTCTGTATTTGTTATATTGTGAAGCTCGCTGATATACTTTTCGTTGAGTTTATATCTTTCCTTGATAGTCCTGTTTGCGTGCCGTCTCCTTACACTCGTAGGACTGCAGGTTATAGTTTATACCTAGCTGGTGTAGCCGTTACGGGTGCCCTAATTATAACTGTCGTCTTCGAGCACACCTGTACAGGATAGGCATAAAAGAATCTGCTGCCTGTGATTGTGGAGCAGAAAGACAGACCCCTGGACACATACTACAGTACTGCCCTTACCTCTCCCAGCAAAGACTGTGGATCTGGCCCAAGGGAGCCACATTGAAAGAGAAGCTATGGGGGACCGGTGGCGACCTTAAACGCACAATCCTATTTGTGACCCAGACGGGACTCAATGTTTAGCATAACTGATGTCGAACGCAGAAAAAGAAGAAGAATAACGTCTTTGAGAGTTAAACGGAAAATATAGAGTCTATCAAGAATGATAAAATCAATAATCTGAGACCTCCACCAGTTTCTTTATCACAATATCACATTTTTCATCACCAACACCTTATTTAATAGTTGTCTACACACCACCTGATCTGCCTCTTTCTAACGACAAACGCTTCCTCCTCAATAAAGAACTACTATCAATTGAGTAACTGCGACCCTATGTGGGGCGAATTTGTCGTAATTTTGAAGCCTTACCCTGGTTGTTGCCGGGAGCTCTAATGTAACTCAGCCTATGGGCTGAACGGGGTTTCTGGGACATGTCCAGGGGTGATACTCATCCGAATGGTGGCACTTTGTATCACCAGGTTTTTATCGCTTGTGTGGTGTCAGTCAATCAATCAATAAAGGACTAAAGGTATAAAGAAGGTAACGTATTGAGATGTAAACCAGCGGCATTGCACACGGTTATAAACCATAAGTGCTCTGCCACCAGTGCGGACAGCTGATAAGAAACTGTCCGCCTGTGTCGCCGTCCGCACGTAACTCTGTAGCTATTGCGACGTTCTTCCATTTACCCCTGAGTGTCACTATGGTACCCATTTCCTAGAGGCTGGGTGAACCCCGGGAACCGCCCGGTTTCGAACACCGACCGTGGCTGCAGCGTGGACTAAAATTTGTTCCTATACGACCAATCGCCGACCATTATTCACTCCTCCAAGATATGCATCTTTTCCACAGCTTCTCACGTCTCCTATACCATTTTCACAATAAACATAAAAATGTACTAAACCCATTGTTGATTTCCGATGGCAGATCACAGTGGACTCCGCCTATCGGACAATCTAACGCACTCGATTTATACATTTAAAACACCCTTTACGAAGTCCAACAGATTAAACAACAGCGACTGTCTAAATCCAACCTCTCATCTGTTGTATGGATAGCCCTCTTAACGCTTAGAAACAGAGAGGATATAGTAATAAAATCCGCACATAAAAGCGGCACTGTTGTCGTTTGGCGAAAGTAAAAACCAACTTCAAAACTCAATTTTTTTTAAATCTAGACTGGAGCGATGATCCAACCGTCTCCAATAATACTAAAATCAAGAATGCACTGCACTCCCTTATCCTTGATAACCTATCATTCCCGCTTGCTCATGCCCAACGGTATACATTTCGGAATTTCTCGATACTGTTTTTCAACTCATTGTCAGCAACCTCCCCTCATTCCTTAAAGATACTAACCATGTTCTTAACCATTTTGGATCTATCAGGTTAATCTCTTGCAAAATTTACCACTCTTTCCTGTTAGATGTATGTTCTCTTTATACATCTATCCCCCAAATTTTGATGGTCTGCAGGCGCTTCGCTTCTTTTTGGATAGGAGGACCAACCCCGATACCTCCACTATAGTTCTTGTACGCCTGGCTGAATTAATACTCGTATTTACTTTTTTTTTTTTTAGTTAAACGGTGAGTATTTTGCCCAAATTAGTGGTGTCGCGACGGGTATCAAGTGGAATCCGGGGCCCCATTAGAGGGATACAAGGTTAGACCCATTGCCTCCCAAACAAGCATGTCGTAGGAGTCGACAAATTGGGGACATCCTTCGAAATCGGAGTGCACTTGTCTGAGAGGCAAGGAACCACGGGTCTGCATACAGATAAGCCAGATCAGGTTCTGGAGCAAGTCTAAAGTCCAAAGGTTTATGAACACCCAGAACTTTTCGCCGGAATTTACAACCGGTGAACGCGAAGAAGAAGAAGAAGAAGAAAATTGGTCCTAGTTTTGCATGTCATTTTGTGGTTTTTCTCGAGCATCAGGTTTGGTCAACACACACAGGAAAGATCCCTGAATTGTACAGGGGATAGATAATGGTATTACTGAAATGTCAAGAGATGAACTCGACCAGTTCATTAATCTCATCAGCATCATTAATCCCGCTTCTCAATTCACCTCCTTGATTTTTACAATTTCTGTGAATTTCTTATACATCAAGATTAGGATTGACTCTCCTTTCTTAACCCTCTATGCTTATAAAAAAAACCTGCTGATTCTCACAACTGTCTTCTCTATACATCCTCTCATCAATTCATTAGCACACATTTTATACCATTATCTTATCTGCTTAGACTACGTAGATTGTGTTCTAATGACTCGGATTTCTTGAGTAAGGCACGCAAGTTTCTTTTTTTTTTTTTTTCTGTTCTGTGTCCGCCGTTACCATGAATACATTCTCGTCGAGGCTCTTAAAAAAAAAGTACAATCCATCACCCAGAGAGAGAGAGAGACATTACCGATTAAACCTAAACATGCTCATGAAAGACTTATACAGTTCTTAAAAAATTTTGGCTGCGTCTATAATCTTCCATCGTCGCCTTTATATTCTTCGCTCTTAGGCAGCGAAAAAAAGGATAGGAACCAAGCGTTTCATTAATCTACATCTACAATCGTTGTCGTGAGCTTTGTAAAAGGTCTAAACAAATAAAAATCACATGCTGACAAATTAAGACTATGAGCTATTTAATCTTCTATATTAATAAAAATGTTAATTTTCCGATGTCGTTAGCTAAAAACTCGGAAACTACTGAACCGATTGCTTTCAAATTTGCACACAACGTTGCCTTTGACTCCAAGCGTGATGTTTTGTAAGAATATCGCACAAACCACGAACGACGTAGCTCCACCAACGGTGACATCATTATTTGTTTCGTTGCCGGCCCAGATTTATTTGTAATCGATTTGCCACCTTTGACTGTGTAACACCGACCTCACATTATTATTATATACTTTGATTTCTACTAAATGCTTAGTTGTAAGCATTTCGTTTTTTCTACTCGGGTGGTAGGGGTTCATTTCCCCGCTGGGTGATATAATTTTGTGTGTGTGGCTCCTAACTAAGTGACTGCCACGTTTTGTTGTGGTTTATAGCTAGGCTGCAATATCTACGCATTTTTCCCGTTCGATTTTGGGGTTTACAGCTAGTCTGCGATAGCGGCGACGTGATGCTCAATGTTCATGTCACAGGTAATATTCGTTCGCCCTTGAGAGGGCGATTGGCACGTAGTGTTGTGGTTTACAGATTGGATGCGATATCAGACCCAAAGTCTTCAGTCTTCGGTAGTAGAGTTGTAAGTATTCCGCCCTTCACGTGGATAACAGCTGTTCGATTCCCCGTTGGGTGCTAATTTTTCTTTTTCCCCAAAAGGGGCGATTGGCACTTTGTGTTGTGGTTTACAGCTAAGTTGCGACATCTGCGCCTTACGCCCAAAGACATCCGATTTCAGTACAGTCCAAATTAGACTCCCCCGACGCTTCACTAGACCAAAAACTATTCGTTGATGACATAAACTGTTAACTAAGAAGGCTTACGGTCCAGTTTGGTTTGGGTCGACACTGATGCCAAGGTTAATTAAACATCGTGACTTCAGAGAGGGAGAGATGACGAGTGCGGGTTTTTATTTCCGCTATTTGTGAGTATAGTGTAAATTTTTTTTAAATATCACGGAGTGTTACTGTGGGTTTCATAACTGGTTAGGTGATGGAGTTTTATGTCGGGGACACACTTAAACTAAACAGTCCGTGGCGACAGCATGCTTAACTATTTTTATTTTAACAATGTCGCCACATAATAATGTTTCAATCATTCGGAGAGGGAGATATAACTGGGCAGATGCTTGAGTCCTTGGTAGCGTTGCTGTATATTTTGCGTGTTACGCGGGTGACTGGCGATCAATGCCCCGCTGGGTGACAAACTTTTTTTTGGCCCTTAACTAAGCGGCTGGCACATTTTGTTGCGGTTTACAGCTAGGCTGCGATATTTACGTCTTTTTTCCGATCGGTATGGGGGTTTACAGCTAGCTTGCTATAGCGGCGACGAGATGTTGGTCATGTCATGGGTAATCTTCGTTCGCCTTTCAGAGGGCGGTTGGAACGTTGTGTTGTGGTTTACAGCTAGGCTGCGATACTAATTTTTCTTTTTCCCCTCAACAGGGCTATTGGCATGTTGTGTTGTGGTTTACAGCTAGGCTGCGATATCTGCACTTTTCGTCCAAAGACATCCGATTTCAGTAAAGTCCCATTTATCCTCCCCGCGGCGCTTCACTCGATCATAAACTATTCGTTGATGACAGAAGCTGTAAACTAAGACTGCTTACAGTCCAGTTTACTTCGGGTGGACATGGATGCCAAGGTCATTTAACATTCGTCCCTTCGGAGAGGGGTGATGACGGGTGAGAGTTTTTTCTCTCAGCTTTTTGTGAGTATAGAAAGGACTATTACTGTGGGTTACATCACTGGTTAGGTGATTAAGTTTTTTTCTTTTTCTTTTTTCGGTGCTCAGTTACACTAAACAGTCTGGGGCGACAACATGCAGCGCTAA